CTGGAAACAACAAACAGATATCCTTCGAGGGGTAAATGGTTGAACAAATTCAATAACCACACTGAAATATCACACACATACCCTTGGATGAATCCCCAGAGAATTATACTGATTGAAAAACTCAGAGGTTATATACCATATGATCCTATTTATATAACATTCTTGAGCTGACAAACACTATAGAAAGGAGAACAGATTCAGGGCTGCCAGGGGGTAAGGAAGAGGTGGGGCAGGAGGGAAGTAGGTTAGGCTATAAATAAAAGGGCAACATGAGAGATCTTTGCTGTGATGGAAATGTTGTTTTATTGTGTGAATGTTTAAGGGAAAGAATTAGGGGATATCCACACAGATGGAAGGAAGGACCAGCGCAAGCAGAGGCTGGTCTTAGGGGCCACAGAAGCTCCCTCCTTGGGTTCCCTCCGTGGGCTCCCTCCCCTCTTGGACCTCACTGTTTTTTTGATCCCCCTTGGAAAGCCTTCCCTGGTCCTCCCTGGCCTTCCTTTGGCCCCTTTGCCTCTCTTCAGTGGGTCTTATCCCTGATCCTGTAACATATCCGTGGGCACGTCTGCTTTCCTCAGTCAGTCCTCGGAGAGAGTGCCAAGGTCGGGCAGGCAGGGGGTGTTAAGGACCCAATCCTGTAACACAGGTTCTTACACACGGTCTGGCCTGTGGTAGGAGCTCCATTCCCATATTTAAAAGAATATGTGAGTGACTTTGAGGTTCGTCCGATGAAGGGCACTTTCCAAAGTGACTCAGGCAGCCTGAGTGGGGCTGTGAGGCCTGCATCCCTTGCTGTCTGTGGTAGCCCGGGGTAGCTGGCTGGCATAACCTTTGTTTGTCAGGGTCTCCTGCACCTGGGCCCCCGTGGGACCTGTTATCCCTGCTGGATGGCCAGCTTCCCGGAGCAGAGGCAATACCTCGTCTCTGTTGCTCTTCTGCCTCTCCTCCTGGCCAGACTCTGAGCATCAAGCACTCAAGAGCGCCATCTTGGGAGGGACAGACTCTGAGGGCAAAATACACAGGACACAGGGTCGGCCCCTGACGGCATTTCTCTGCTCTACTTCCTCACCCTCCTTTTCCTTTATGAGCAGCAAGAGATAATTCAGGACGATGGCATTAAGGCCAACTGATACTCAGGTAAGGAGCCTAAAATGTGAAAGAGGATGTAGGGATGGGCACACACCTAGCCTCCAAAACCAGGTCACAGGAGACAAGGAGGAGAGTCTGAAAGCTTGTCATGTTCTCTCCTTCCCTCCACCCTCCATTTATTTCCCTTTTGACTCCCCAGCCTTGGCCCCTAACCTCCCTGGCCACCAGATGGGTTGACCCTCGGGGACCAGGAAGTGCTGTGGCCACCTGACAAACTGGTCGGATGATCCCTGACCTTTGACCCTCAGCCCGTTCTCGTCTGGAATGATAATGGAACTTAACATTTACGCACCAGCCAGGAGCTCCAGGGTCATGTGTTAAAGGTTTGGCTCTGACATTTAACTTAACACGGTTGTTGGCAAGGGTTGCTGCCATCCGGGGCTCTGCGGACTAGAATAGCTCCCTTATCAGAATGTCAAGGTAGGAGGAACTAGATAAGCTTGCGGCACTGGCAGGAGCCATGGCTCCGTCCCTCGGCAGCCAGGGTCTCAGGAAGGGCCAGCTGTCCCGTCCGTTTTAAAATAATCCCAGAGAAAGCCACCCTCAAGTCTCTTAGAGAAATACATTCAGGCATTTTTTTTTTTTTTCAAATGCCACACCGCAATCCTTTGTGTTTGAACTCCCATGTTCGAACTTATTTTGTCTTGAGGAAAAACAGAAAAATCCCTCCATGGCTGACAACGGTCTCAAAGCACATCTGATGATGGACCCTCTCTTGGAAACCAGCTCTCCGTGGCCTGATCTGTAGCTCAGACACAGTGAAAAGTTGAATCTAAAAATGGCTCCTTCGAACCACCTCATGGTTTCCTCCTTTCTCCCCATGGTACCCCCCCCAACACCCCAGCCTAAATATTCAATCAGTATTGCCCAGAACATGTAAGCTTTGGTGCTCATGCTCCGAAGTGTAAAAGCATAACCCTGTCTGAATGATCATGTTCCAAGATTTTCAAACATTAATTACTCCTGCCACATCCTAAGCAATCAAATAAATCGCTGTAGAACTGATTTAAAAACAAGAAACAGAGTAGATGCTATTTACAAGGACGCGAGTGCACAATAGACCCATCTGTGGCTTGGACCACAGAAGGCAGTGAGAACCAGGGTATCTGCAGAGCAAGTGGGACCTGGAGAAGGGGGTGCTCTGGTTGTCTCTTCCCTGCTGTGGGGTTACCTCCATCACAGGCGACTAGGCAGCCCTAGAGTCCCCCGCATCCCTGGCCGAGAAATCCAGGCAGGCACTGGCAGACAGCCCCACAGGGATCTTGCTATGCAGTCCACCGGGGACAGCGGGGCAGAGAACATCTGTGACGGAGCCACATTGACATCTCTGCTGGGCCCCCAGTGGAAGAGCTTGGCTCTGCTCAGGATGTGCCCGCAGACTGGGGGGTACCCACGGGAGACTTCTCCCTGGGGAATCCCAGTGAGCTTTGACTTCATCCTCAGGGAAGGCAGCAGTGTCCCGGACAGCCCCCTCTCTCTGCTCACACGTCCTCCTGTCCTCCTCTCCTCTCTTCTAGCGGCACTGCTTGCTGGACGGAGTTCATTCATTCTCTGTGTACTGCAGGAGGGCTCCTTCAAGAAGCCTGTGAGGTGGCCCAGCAGGTTATAGTGGCTTTTGGAGAGGACAGGAGAAGTCTGGTCCCCTCTCTGTCCGAGAGCTAGATAGGGTATCTAGAACAGGGCTGAGGTGACCTAGGGAACACTGTCCTTCCCTGCAATGTGAAGACGAGCTCCCTACCTGATGTTTCCCCTTTCGGCGGTGGCCCTGGTGCTGTTCTGATCATTTAGGCTGACGTAACAATTTATTATCCACCTCATAATTAATAAATGGAGCCTGGCAAGTAATAAACACCTAATAAACGTCCCAAAACATTCCTTCCAAGGTAAAAGAAGGTTGTCTTTTTCTCGCCTTAGGCTGTAAGTCTCGATTCTGTGAACTTAGTTTCAGATTTTTTGGGTCCAGGACGGTTAAGGGGGTGGGATGAGGTGAGGTCGGGGGAGGGTGGGAGGAAGAGCAGGAAAAGCAGTGGATGGAAGAAGAAGAAACAATCCCATCACATACACAAAATGCCCAGTATCACACAGTTAGCATTCAATAAATGACAATTTCTTAATATTATTGCCAAGAAGCAGAGTGAGGCCATCTCAGGGCAGATCAATAGTTTAAAATCCCAGGCAGCCTGGGGCGCCTGGGTGGCTCAGTCTTTAAGCATCTGCCTTCGGCTCAGGTCATGATCCCAGGGTCCTGGGATCAAGCCCCACATCAGGCTCCCTGCTCCCTGCTTTTCCCTTTCCCACCTCCCCGCTTGTGTTCCCTCTCTCGCTGTGTCTCTCTCTGTCATAAAAATAAAAAAATCTTTAAAAAATAAAATAAAATAAAATCCCAGGCAGCCCGACAAAGCTTTTCATGTCAGAGTCCAACCAAGGGCCTCTCCCTCTAGCTCCCACGCCGTCCACCCTGCTTGGTCCTTCTACCAGATTCGAGGGCACCCCAGGGTCTCATCCAGCCAGCTGATGGGATTTACGCCTGGCTTGGAGGAAAAGGCACAGATTTGGGAAGGTCAGCGCACCTTTCAGGGTTAGTGTTTAATAGTGGAAAGAGTCTGGCTTTGAAGTCAGAGGACAAGGGTTTAGAGGATAACAGCTCTGCCATTCTTCCTGCTCAGAACTCTAAAGCTACGGTCTCATCTCTAAAGCTGGTGAATGACCTCCGCCCCACAGGACTGGTGTCCAGATGAACTCATCCGAATGTGTCTGGCTCAGTCCTTGGTTCCATAAATATTAGCTGTTTTTCACTGCCTCTCCCGCACATGGAAAAGTGCTTTGTGGACCAGAGAGCCCGATGAGACAAAGGTATGTTTTGGAGTCAGACCCAGGTGAGAATTTCACTTGGAAGCTTTGTACCTCCCAAAAGTTACACAGCCTCACCAAGCTTGAAGATGCAAAAATCTGTTCTATTAAAAGGATCCAAAGAGAGCAAAGCACTTGGCGCATTCGGACACAAAGCCAACATCCCTGTGCCGTTGATCTTCTGGTGGTGGAAAGGGGCTCTCGGAACAGGTGCTGGGCTAACGTTACCCGACCTGATGTGTAGGCTAGGCCCTGGAACTTTGCGGGGGAGGCCCGGTCCCACTACGCTGAGGCTGCTCCCCAGTCCTGGGAGGAGGGGGGACAGCCCTGTTTGACGGGAAGCAGAGACAGTTCTCCAGGGAGACACATGGATTTGGGAGAAGGGGAAGAATGATGGCCTTTCCTATTCCCTGTCCCTACCCTTGCAGCCAGGACTCTTGGCCTTTCTGAACAGTTGGAAAGATGTTTAAAAAGAGATAGAGAGGCATGCAGGAAGTGACCAGGAGGCAAGGAGGGCAGAAATAGCAAGGCCACGTTTCCAATTTGGCCAGACTTAGAAAAAAGCAAGAGTAAGCTGAGGTCAGAGGCTCTGAGGGAGCTCGCCGCCCCACTCCAGCCCTCTACACCCCCATTTGGAGGCAGGCCTGCTACCCAGGGGAATGATGCCCCCCACCCCCCACTGCCTGGGCCTCTCATACCAGGCAGGGGGGTTTCAGGGCCCCCAGGGGTACCCCAGCTCTGGTACCAGCACAGCGCGTTTACAGCTCTCTGAAGGCTGAGCTTCCAGAGCCCAGGACGCCTGCAGGCTCTGGGGAGCTGGGATTTCCTGGCTGAACTTTAAACTGGCCCTAAGCCCTTCACTGTCCCCATGGGCTCCCATAGTGGCAGGTGCCTGGCAAAAGCTAACTGCCAGGGACAATGGGCTCCTTGAGAGTGCCCATCCTGCCTTCCAGAACCAGTGAGCTGGGGAGAAAAGGAAGAAGGAAAAGAAGACAACTTACTTGTTGAGATCGGAGCTGCCGGGTCCCACTGATGCTAACTTCTGGACCTCCCTTAGAGGCGGTGCAGGGGCGCTCAGGGACCTCGAGGGGACTCTCCAGCCCCAGCCATTACCACAGCCTCCGACTCTGCCTAGAGCTCCTCCCTGCTGTGGGGTCCTGTGGCCAGAGGCTTCTAAGCCATCCTGTCCCTTCCTTCGCCAGCCCCTCAGTCACTCCCTTCCTCCTGCAGCGGGAGGCTCTGCTCACGCTCGCACTCTCTCTCTCCCGCTCTCCCTCTCTCCCCCTCCTCCCCTCCGCCCGCTTCTCTCTCCCGGCTCTCCTCCCCTTCGCCCCAGTACAAACGACTCTCTGTGTAATAATGTGTAATAACCGACTTAAAGGGCCGCAGGCAAAGGCGGGAGGGGTGGTTCTGGGGCCGCGGCTGGTTCTGAATGAATGGGGTCCGGCAGGGGGAGAGAGGACCGGAGGGGAGGGGTGGGGTGGGGGTTCTCCCCTCCCTCGCTACCCCCCTCCCTGCTAGCCCAGGGCGAGTGGTACTGGGGCTGCTTCTGGCCCTGCAGAGGCCAAGAATGGAGATCTGTGCAAGTGTGTGTGTGTGTGTGTGACATGCACCTGTGTCTGTGTGAGCGCCTGCGTGTGCATGTGTGTGTGCACCCGTGTCTGTGTGAGCGCCCGCACGTGCGTGAGTGTGCACCCGTGTCTGTGTGAGCGCCCGCGTGTGTGTGTGTGCACCCGTGTCTGTGTGAGCGCCCGCGCGTGCGTGTGTGAGTGTGCACCATGTCTGTGTGAGCGCCCGCGTGTGCGTGTGTGCACCATGTCTGTGTGAGCGCCGCGCGTGCGTGTGTGAGTGTGCACCCGTGTCTGTGTGAGCGCCCGCGTGTGCGTGTGTGCACCCGTGTCTGTGTGAGCGCCCGCGTGTGCGTGTGTGAGTGTGCACCATGTCTGTGTGAGCGCCCACGTGTGCGTGTGTGAGTGTGCACCCGTGTCTGTGTGAGCGCCCGCATGTGTGTGTGTGCACCCGTGTGTGTGAGCGCCCGCATGTGTGTGTACACCTGTGTCTGTGTGAGCGCCCGCGTGTGTGTGAGTGTGCACCCGTGTCTGTGTGAGTGCCCGTGTGTGCATGTGTGACATGCACCTGTGTCTGTGTGAACGCCCGCGCGTGTGTGTGTGAGTGTGCACTGTGTCTGTGTGAGCGCCCGTGTGTGCATGTGTGACACGCACCTGTGTCTGTGTGAGCGCCCGCATGTATGTGTGTGCACCGTGTGTGTGAGCGCCCGCATGTGCGTGTGTGAGTGTGCACCCGTGTCTGTGTGAGCGCCCGCATGTGTGTGTGCACCTGTGTCTGTGTGAGTGCCCGCGTGTGCGTGTGTGAGTGTGCACCGTGTCTGTGTGAGCGCCCGCGTGTGCATGTGTGACACGCACCTGTGTCTGTGTGAGCGCCCGCATGTGTGTGTGTGCACCGTGTGTGTGAGCGCCCGCATGTGCGTGTGTGAGTGTGCACCCGTGTCTGTGTGAGTGCCCGCATGTGTGTGTGTGCACCTGTGTCTGTGTGAGCGCCCACGTGTGTGTGAGTGTGTACCCGTGTCTGTGTGAGCGCCCGCGTGTGCATGTGTGACACGCACCTGTGTCTGTGTGAGCGCCCGCGTGTGTGTGTGCACCGTGTGTGTGAGCGCCCACATGTGCGTGTGTGAGTGTGCACCCGTGTCTGTGTGAGCGCCTGCATGTGTGTGTGTGCACCTGTGTCTGTGTGAGCGCCCGCGTGTGTGTGAGTGTGCACCCGTGTCTGTGTGAGTGCCCGCGTGTGCGTGTGTGACACGCACCTGTGTCTGTGTGAGCGCCCGCATGTGCGTGTGTGACACGCACCTGTGCCTGTGTGAGCGCCCGCATGTGCGTGTGTGAGTGTGCACCCGTGTCTGTGTGAGCGCCCGCGTGTGCATGTGTGACACGCACCTGTGTCTGTGTGAGCGCCCGTGTGTGCGTGTGTGAGTGTGCACCGTGTCTGTGTGAGCGCCCGCGTGTGCATACATGTGAGTGCACGCGTGTTTCGTGGGTGCGGTGGAGCAGTCGGAAAGAAGGAAGCAACTGGAAGGCAGAAATTTGGGGGCAGGGCCTTGGCCGGGCTGCGCAGTCTCTCCACCCTGCGGCATCCTCACCCCTGGCTCTCGCGGGCCTGTGGTCTGGTTGTCTGGTCGGCGACAGGTAACCGGTCTGCTGCTCCCAGGGCTCTCTGCTCACCCCCAAATGTGCTCTCCGGGGGCATGTGGCCCTTGGCTGGGTAGGAAGAGGGGGAAATGCTTCCTCCCGCTGCTCAAAGAAGCCCCCCACAGGGGAGAGCCCCTGCCTCAATGGAACCAAGGCTGAGAAGAGCAGCTGTGTTCCCTTTTGGATTCCTCCCTTCCCTGCCTGGAGGAAAGATGATTGCATGCTGTTTATTCCTCAGTCCATGGAAGCTGCTGGAAAGGCAGCGGTGGCAGATGGGGCACCCCCTGCAAAGAGAGGCCTGCTGCCTGGGGAGGGGCCGGCAAGCTTCTCGGCGGACAGGTCCATTGAGGGCAGCTCTTTGGGTTCAACACCCTTGCTCTAGGCCCCGAGTGTGTCTCCTCTCTCCCCGCAGGCCCACCTGATCAAGTGTGTGAGGTCGGTGTCCATGAGACCGTGGGCTCCGCCAGGGCAGTGACTGTGACTGTCTTGCTCTCTGCTGTGTCCCCAGCACCTCGCACAAGTGCTCAATGAATATTTATCAGTGAACACTGTCAACAACAGGGAAACTGATTTATTAAATTACAAGAAGACAAACGGTTGTCACAGGGATTGGGGTGCACCCAGCCTATGCTCTCCTGTGAGCACAGCAACATGGCGGCGTCCCGGAAGCTTGGTCTCATGAGGGCCGCCCCGGGGCTCCTGTTGCCACACAGAGCGCGACGCACACAGCCCGCTACCCAGGGTTAGAGCGCGGAGGGTCCCTGCCAGGGTTTGCATCCTGGAACCCCCCTCCTCTCTCTCCATAGAGGGGTCCATTTGTTCAGTGTGGCTGCACTCAGCCCTAAGTAGGAAATCCCTAAGTCCCCTTAGGAGATTTAGTCTGTCTTCCTGCTCATCCATTACATTTTGATCTAATGGCTTAACACTCTGAGAAGAAAGTTCTTCATTGGATTCCATAGAAAAACCATGGGATTTCTTCTGCCGAATCGGGGAGCTGGCTGACTTTGAAGCAAAATGTAGGGTGGTCTGGAAAATGTTTTGTAAGTATTCTCACAGCAATGGGGCCTTGGACCAGGAGACAGAAAACCTGGGTCCAGTTCTCCACCTAGATCTGAAAAATGAGACATATGGGCGTTCTTGTCCTGACTGGTTTTTGCAAATTGGAGTGAACCTTAACCTTTCCATATGTCTAAGTCTCCCAGAGAGCATGGACAATAGTTGAGGATCGGAGACACAACTCAAGGACCGCTCAGGGGGCTTGGCAGATGCTGGGGACATCTTGCAGTGTCTGAAAATTGATGAGGGGATACTTGAAAGCACCGAGAATTTGGGGGTGTCATCACTGTTAATTAGAGTACAGAGCCATGGCCTCTGTCCACCTGCCTCGGCTTCTCTTACCTGCCTTCACTGAGGGAGAGATGAATCATAATAAAAGTTTTCTTTTTCGAATGTGACACACAGGAAATTATTTTTTTCTCCTATTTATAGAAATTCCATTTGCATTTATGAGGCTGGTAATGTCTCATAAATATTTCCTGCCAGATAAAATATTAATTAAAAGAGTTTGTTGAGTTATACTCTCAAGTTCTAACTAAAACTCTTCTAAGACAAATATTTGAAGTCTTTTCTCTCATGTCAGGAGAATTCCTTGTACATTAGTTGTGTATTCTGATAAGTCAACCTATCAACCCCAGAGATGTGTCAATTAATGAATACTAACTTGCAATATTTAAGAATTGAAAAAGGTATGAGAAGAGGATAGCAGATAATCGTGAAGCTGCCACGCAGTTGAAAAAAAACAAAACACAACATTGCCGACATTTATGAATCCGCCCTGCATTAGGTCCCCTTTCCTCAAGAGAGAATCAATAGCCTGAATTTGGTGTTTTTCTTTCTCCTAATTTCTTTATGCTAAGACCACACCCACCCACCCACACCCTTATTCAGTCAGTGAATATTGACCATGTATCAGGATTTTTGCACTCATAAACTCTTTTGATGGGTGAAGGCCTACGATGTTTGAGACTTTGATATGTACTGTGAGAAAAACGAAGAAGGATAATGGTGGCTTTGATCTACAATGCCTTACAATTTAATTGGGAGGGTCAGCCCATGTGCAGGAAAAGTTAGCAGACAAATTAACAACTTGGGTTTTACTTCATAGGTGCTAATTGGCTGGGATGATGGTGTAGGAGAGATGGTAAAGCTAACACAGCTTGGGGAGAAGGAGCTGAGGGCTGACATCTGGCTACAGACAGAAGGGGTATCTGACATGACCCCTGAAGTAAGACTAGGATTTGAATATGAGGGGTTAGGGTATGTATGAAAAAAGGTGTGTCAGGGACCTGAAGGGAGGGATTGGTGCTGGGGGAAAGGGCAGGTGAAGTGTGAGGAGGGGATGGTGACAGGGACTATATTAACCGAGTATGTACTACTGAGCTCAGCTAAGTGCTCCACACCAGTAAGTGTTTTACTCTTAACACCTCATGAGGAAGGTCGTAGTATCACCGTTTCTCAGATGAGGAAACTGAGGCACAGACAAATAAAGTGTCCTCTGTGCCACAGACATGAGTAGTGATTTTCATGACCCAGTTTTGTTAGATTCCAAAACCATATTCCTGACTGTTACAGGTGAATTGTGTCCCCCCATCCCCTACTCCCCAGATTCATTTGTTGGAGACTTAACCCCCTGTACTTCAGAAGGTGATTGTATTTAGAGATAGTATTTTAAAGAGATGATTAAGTTAAAATGAAGCTGTGAGGATAGGCCCTGATCCAATCTGACTAGTGTCTTTATAAGAGGAGGAGATGGGGATGCACTGAGAGACACGGGGGGGGGGGGGGGTGGATAGGGCCGGGGGGGGGGGGGGAGTGCACACAGAGCAAAGGCCCGGTGAAGACACAGAGAGAGGCCAAGGAGAGAGTCCTCAGGAGAAACCAGCCCTGTGGACACCTTGATCTTGGACTCCCAGCCTCTAGAATGGTGAGAAGTAAATCAGCTGCATAAGGACCTTGCATCCCAAGCCACAGAATGTGTGCTTTATTCTGCAGAAGGG